ACAGTTATCAAAATATTTTTAAAACACGCAAGTTCACAGACTCTAGGTTAAGAACCTGTGAACTTGGGCAGCTAGGTGGCACAGTGGATAGAGCACCAGCCCTTAAGTCAGGAGGACCTGAGTTCAAATCTGGCCTCAGACCAAACACTTGACACTTACTAGCTGTGTGACTCTGACCCAATTGCCAAAAAAAAAAAAAAAAAATTCTGAACTAAATGATCTCTAATAATCCTCCTAGTTCTAAATTCTACAATCTTATCTCTAGGTATCACTATCTCTATAGTACAAACTAAGAAAAATGGTACAACAAAGATTTGTGGATTACATGCTGGAAAAACAATGGGAGATCTGGCCAAGTAACAGGGAATTCCTTCTTCCCATGCTCCCAACAAAAGAAGCAAATAAACAAATTTTCTAGAAATCAAATGATTTTTGGGACCAACCCAGAATACCACAATACCCCTGATATGACTGATCCTGAAACAAATCTCTCACAAATTATCGCCCCAATCCAATGGTTATAAATCAATACTGTCCAAGGCTCTTTTGGGAATAAAATACAACAGGTCGTTACTGATTCACTAATTTCAAATTCAAATGCAACCTAAATCAAAATGGCTGCTATAACACTGGGAAGGAATAACTTTGTATCCTTCTGAAGTCTTACACTGCTGTCTCACTTGTATTCCTGGTAGGTCCTACCAAGCTAGAAAGGAAGTGTCGTTTGAAGACTAGCCTAGGTAAGTTTGGAGGGATTCAGCACGAGGTGAAGGTGAACTTATCTGACAGTATATATACAATATTTTGTCTTAGTAGTCTACTTCCTCTCTGTTGTGAAGGGGGAGGAGGGATAAGTGTTTCATCATTTATTTCCAGGTACCTTTGTTTTTTCCCCATTACTTTGAATTTGTCTTCCTTTTAGTGATCTTTTCATTTATACTGTTGGAGTCATTCTGTACATTATTGTCTTGGTTCTGCTTAATTCATTCAGCCTTACTTCATAAAATTTTCCCATGCTTCTCTAACTTCCCCATATTTATCATTCCTCAATGTATAATGACAACCCATTATGTTCTCACACTGTAGTTTTTGGAGCCATTCCTAGCCAGTGTGCACTCACTTTGTTTTCCACAAACAGTGCTACTGTGAAGATTTTTTCAGCCACAGCAACTCATAAAGACCTCTTATTAAAAGCTATAATTTGCATTTGGGGAGGGAGTAGCCACATCAATGATATCATAGATTTTTTTTGAAGAAATATAAAGCATTTTCTTTTCTTCTCTTTTAGGCAATTGGGGTTGAGTGACTTGCCCAGGGTCATACAGCTAGTAAGTGTCAAGTGTTTGGTCTGAGACCGAATTCGAACTCAGGTCCTCCTGACTTCAGGGCCAGTGTTCTATCCACTGCACCACCTAGCTGCCCTATATAAAGCATTTTCAATTCCATATAGGAACAAAAGAAAGAAAAAGTTGTTCAACAAACTTTCTTTGAACCATACAAAACAGATCCCTATAGATCAGATTACATATAGAGCAAAGGATACAGCTATTCTAAAATATTAGATATTTCCAAAATAAATTATATTTAGCATTGAAGTACATTATATAATGCTTTATAATCCCTGTACTCCATATACACTTGGAAATTTCATCCACTTTCACAGTCTCTACTATCTACAGTGAAGACAAAGGTCCAAATCTGGTTGCACATTTCTTCATGACTAAAAATGACAAAAACAGAAAGTCTTGTCTTCTCTGCCATATCATTCCTGCCCCCTAACTTCTCTATCTTATGTGCTACCATCTTTTCCTAAATCACTCCGGCTTAAAACCTTAAATTTTCCCCCTTCTCCAATATACCCAGTGCCAGTCTTTGAATTTTCCTTTTCTTTCCATTCTCACCAATACTGCCTTAATTCAAGCTCCCACTGTATGTTCCAAGTCTAGACTCCTAAAATAACCTCTCTGGTACCAATCTCTCTTTCCCCCAATCCACTGCAAGAATAACCTTTGTCAAACACTCACCCTCTCACCACCACCCTCCACAGTCCCTTATTATTTCCCTTCTTTCTGCCTGTCCAAATCTCACCTCCTTTACAGACACTGACCCTTAAAGTGACTTCCTCTTCTCTAAACTTCTATACCACCTATTGCCTGTATCTACATTTGCCCCAAACTTACAAATCTTATTAATGGGCACTGTTAAAAAGGCCTACAAGTCTGTTGTTTGGAAACGAGAACTTATCTTTCTTGTAGAAATGATGTTACAGATCTTGGTTAGTTATGTTCCTGGGCCAGCTTATAAATGCCTAGTTAATAATGTATTTCAAGTATTATATAACCTAACCACTATTTATAACACTGCTTCTCTTAGGAAATGTATTCAGAATTCCAACTTGAAATTGAAGGAACAAGGGGCAGCAGGAAGTAACTATGGAGAGCCAGCTGCAAAGCCATGAAGACCGGGACTCAATCCCTGTCTTGGACATGCTGGCTATGTGACTTAACCTCAAGTGACTTAACTTCTCAATGCATTAGGCATAATCAAACCTGTCTTTGTTATTCACTGGAATGAAGCACTAACTGACCTTTCACTCTGCAAGTTTCAATTGTGCTTCTCAATTCTCCCTCTGCACAATTAGGTTTTCTCTTCAATTGGAATCCTCAAATGGACAAAGACAATAAAATCATTTACATGGAGTCCTAAGCATTTAGGACTGTCAATGAAAAAAATCAGGGGCATCTTCACTCAAGAAATTATTTAATTACATTAAATTTCCTAAAACACAGATTTTAACCCTCTCCAAAATAATATTTGAAGGGATACTAACAAATAAACATGTTTTGTTTGGAAGAATGGTCCAAAAGTTGATTCTTAAAAACTTCTGTTCATATTTATTAATTTTGTCCTTTTTACATATTTATTCGGAGAAAGAAAATTTAACAGGCTTTATTCAGTTTAATTTTTGAGTGGAATACTAATTCATGAATTAGCATTAACTCTGAATTGTCCTTTCACAGAGCTCAAAAAGACCTTAGTCAAACTCAGTGCAACTCAGGTTACAGATAAAGACTGGTCCAGAGAGCGGAGGAAACTTCACTAAGATCAGAACCAGTTAGTGGCAAACACATATTCTAATTAGTTTAGAACTTACAATAAATAACTTTGCTGTTTGCTTTCTATATGAGTGTCTGGTCTCCCCAACTAGACTGTCCTTTCTACTTCTTTGCACCTCCCTATAGCATTGAGTCTTGCACAAAACAGGCTCTCAGTAAGGACTTATCAATGGATTTTAAGATGGCCCTGCTAACAATAAGCCATTTTCTAAAAGAGGCTTATTTTTCCAGACTAGAAATATAAGAATATTGAATATATTGTTTCTCTTTTCATGCACGAAGAGTGCATGAGATATATTTGGAAATGAAGATGATTTAAATGAAATCCCCCAAAGTGAACAAAATAAGATGGCTTCGGTGACTTGTATTGTTCATTAGGTTACAAGAAAATACTTGCATTTTAATGAATATATTGGTTTCTATAGTGCTTGCAATTATTTCATTTATTCCTGATGGTATATACCTATGACAAAAGCATTATCACCCAACACACATAAATGCCTTATTAAAAATTGACCACTGCTTCCCTTTCTACTGTGACCAGCTGCTTATCCTAAGTAGCTTCAACCATTCCTCACTTCTGTTATACTACTGTAGAACAGGAAGAACACAGAACCCTCCAGAAAGAAAAATGGATGGAATATAACATGCTTATACAAGGTTTTGTATTAGGTATAGGCTTTGAAAATCTTAGAGTACTATATTAATAGGAGCTATTATTTTTTAATGGGCTCTTTTTTCCTCTATAACTTTCCCTATTACACCTAAGACAGTGTCCTGGAGATCCGATGAATGAAAAATCATTTAAATGTTTATTATATCCAAAACACATATTTAATAAGTTATTAACTGACTGATTCTTCCAAATCTGAGACATGGCAGAGAACAGATATCCCATAAATTCCTCCCCTTCCCCCCATGCTGTCCTCAGTTGACTCCCACCACGCTTTATCATGCCAGTCAGTATGTACTCTAGAAAAGTCTTGCTCTGTGCATATAAGGTCCCCTCCCATGCCCAGCATCCATCTCTATATCTGATACCTCCATAGTGTAGCAGAAAGCACTCAATTTGTGTTCACATCCAAGCTCTGCATTTAGTAATACCTTGTGTGGGTGGGCAATGTGATTTCATTAGTGTAGGTAACTCTGGTCGGGAAAATTCCCTGGGCCAATTCAGAGGAGCAACCAGTTGCATTTTATAGGTTTAAAAAGCTTGGGGGGGAGGTGGCAATGGGGCATTAACTTCCCCGGAGCTGTCAAAGTAAAAAGGAGAGACAAGACTTGAATCAAAGTCTTAACTCATCTCCATCCATCCACCCATCCATTCATATGCCTTAGTAATAGCTGTTGTGACCTTAGCCGGTCACTTCTGGGCCTAAGTTTCCAAATCTGTAAAATTAGGGAGCTGCACTATTAACTGGTCCTCTAAAGTCCCTCAGTAACAACTGTTGTGACTTTAGCGGGTCACTTCATTTCTCTGGGCCTCAGTGACTTTAGCGGGTGACATCATTTTCCTGGGCCTGTTTCCTGATCTGTAAAATTAGCGGGTGGCCCTATGAACTGCTCTTCTAAGGTTTCTGCCAGCTCTCCATCCCATAATTCAGCATCTTTAGGGGCATCATTTGACCCTCATCTGTAAAACGGGGAGAACAATCGCTCCTGCTTCATAGGGTGATGGTGAGGATCAAAGGAGGTTAACAAATGGCCAGCGCTGCATCGGCGCCGGCTACCATTCTAACAACCGTAAGGAAGGCGTTGGCCCAGGCCGCGGGCTCTCCCAGCTCTAGCCCCCTTAGCAACCGCGGAAGCGTCGGCAACGTCAGCGGCCCGGGAGGCTCCGGGCCCGGGAGGCTCCGAACCGGGGCGGCTCCGGCGGGCGCTCACCTTGATGCGCTCGCCGTCGATGTCCACCGCGCGCTCGCGGAAGTCCACGCCGATGGTGGCCTCGGTGCGGTCCGGGAAGCGGCCGGCGCAGAAGCGGTACGTCAGGCACGTCTTGCCCACGTTGGAATCCCCGATCACGATGATCTTGAAGATGCGGGAGCGGGCCGGGGGCAGCCCCGCGCCTCCGCCGCTGGCCGTGAAGCTCGCCTCCAGCGATGACTCCAGCTCCATCGCGCCGCTTCCGGCAACGGAAGCGGAGGCCGGGGCCAAGGCAGCGGCTCCGGAATCGACTGGACCGGACCCCCGCTCGATTGCGCAACGTCCCCTCACAGCCCCGGCCGCCGCTCGGGGGCGCGCGCACGCTCCTAGCGCTCACCGCTCCCGGGTCCCGCGCCTCGCGCCGCCCTCCGACGTGGGCCGGGTGCAGTCGCCACCTCCCACCGCCGCGACATCCGCCGCGGCCCCGCCCCCGCTCTCCCCGAGGGAGCGGAGAGCCTCACGCAGACGCCCCACCCAGCCTCGCGCCCGCGCTCCACTTCCACACCAGGAGGGGTTCTGACCAGGGCAGCCAGTCCCCTTGCCGACTTTGGCCGGAAGCGCCGGTAACAGCCCAGCCGAGAGAGCTGTCAACTAGCGCCCCTGCGGCCAAGGCGCAGACGCACAGGGGGAGGGGCGGAGCCGCGTACACCGAGGTCTCGCGAGAACGTCGCCGAGCCTTTCCCTGCTTCGCGGCGTAAAGGGGGGGCGCGAGCCCGGCTGAGGGAGGTAAGGCGGGCCTCCTCGACGTCGGAGAGTCGCTGTCGCGAGGCTGCTGGGAAAACGGGAAAGGCGCTTCCGGTCGTGCCGAAGGGGCGGGAACCTCGGAAGCCTTGGGCGTGGGAGGCCTCGGGGTCTGGAAAATTGGCTGGGCGGAGGTGAAGCGAGTGATTCTGGTCGGAGCGGACTGACTCTGCGGCCTCCAGGTGGTATGAGGGGTTGGAGATAATTAGATTTAGGCGCCCGCTGCCCATGAGACGCGGCTGTGCCCGTGGATGAGGGGATTCCCTCGGTCCACACTCGCCTCCAGGATAGAAGATTTAAAAAAAAACAAACGAACAAACAACCCTGTCTGTTCTGCATTCAAGGCACTCCTCAACCTGGCCCCCTCCTACCTTTCCAGTCTTTTTTTCCCCCCATTTTTACCCCTCAATTTGTATTTTCACCGTGAATTCTCTCCCTCTCTTCCCCCACCTCTTTGAGAAAGCTTGAAAAACAAAACTTCTTATAAATGTGTATAAAAATGGAAAACAAACCCCCACAATAACCCTCTGCAAGAAAAAAAAAAAGTGCCTCTAGTCTCTGCCCTCTAACTGGCGGTGAGGTAGCGTGTTTAATCACGAATCCCCTAGAATTGTCTTTCAAAGTTGTTTTTAAGATGTTATTGTCGGGTCCTGAGTTCGAATCCAGCCTCAGACACATAACACCAGCAGTGTGACCCTGGGCAAGTCACTTAACCCCATTGCCTAGCTAAAAAAAAAAAGATGTTATCGTCATTGTATGAGTTGTTCTCCTGGTTCTGCTTCTCACTTCGCTCTGCATCAGTTCTTACAAGCCTTCCAGGTTTCTCTGAAATCATTCCCTTCCTTATTTCTAAAAGCACAGTAGTATTCCATCCTATTCATATGCTTTAACTTGTCCAGCCATTCCCCTACTGATGGGCACCCACCCCCTCAGTTTCCAATTTTGGGCTACCATGAAAAGGGCTACTATAAATATTTTTGTGCATATGGGTCTTTTTCCTCTTTTTGTGATCTCTCTAAGGTATATGCCTAATAGTAGTATTGCTAGGCTAAAGAGTATGCACACTTTAATAGCTTAGGGACATAGTTCCAAATTACCTCATAGAGGGGCCGAACCAGTTCATAGCTCCACCAACAGTGCATTAATGTACCTGTCTTCTCTTTTTACAATCTTCTTACACCTTAATTTCCCCTCCCCACTTATTACTTTGTGATACAGTGACTCTGGCTTCCTCTATTGTACCTTGCACATTCCATTTCCTTACTCTGGGCATTTTTACTGGCTGTGTCTGAAATACTCTCTCAGCTTCACCTCTTGACTTCCTTTAGGTTGCTACTAAAATTCTGTCTTCTAAGATAAGGGTTTTCTGGCCCACCTGACCCCTTTATGCTTGTTCCTTCCATCTGTGATTATCTTCAGTGTATCCTGTATCCTTCTTTGCACGTCATCTTTTCATGTTGTCTCCCCCATTAGGCTCTGAATCCCTTGAGAGCAAGGACTGTTTTCTGCCCTTGTATCTCTAGCTTTAGCACAGTGCTTGACTGACTGTTAGGGAATTACAAAATGATTTCTTCCATTCATAAAGTACCTCGAAATACTCAAAAGAAACACTTGATGAGAACAAATTGTTTTTAAACATGTGCATGTGAAAATTTCTTTTAAACAAATTATTGGAAGAAAATAAACTATTTTTGTGCAATTCTATTTCTCCCTAATCAATTTATGATCCAACTTTCCATAGTGGTTGTTCCAGATTTTCTTGTCTCCTCAAGGCTCTCAAGGGACCCCTTCCTTTCATTATTTCACTTGAGGACTTAGCCTCCTACTTCATTGCAAAAAATTAACACCATTCACTGGGAGCTTCCCCTTTGCCCCCTCCTCATCTTACACCATTCAGACATCTTTCTTCCCCAGTGTTCACTCCAGTCTGTGATGATGATTGCCCTTCTCTTTGCCAAGGCCAACCTCTCTTCATGTACCCTTTTTTTTTGTTTGTTTTGTTTTGTTTTTTGGCAATTGGGGTTAAGTGACTTGCCCAGGGTCACACAGCTAGTAAGTGTCAAGTGTTTGGTGTGAGGCTGAATTTGAACTCAGGTCCTCCTGACTTCAGGGCTGGTGCTCTATCCACTGTGCCACCTAGCTGCCCCTACATGTACCCTTAATGCCATGCTTTCCCATCTTCTCCAGCAGATTGTCCCCACATTTGTCCCCATTCTCTAGTCTTCAATCTCTCCCTACCTACTAGCTCTTTCCCATCTGCCTTTAAACACATTCATGTCTCCCCCATTCTTAAATCCTATGTATCTCCTACCTATGTAAACTCCTGGAGAAAGATGTCTACCCTAGATATTTTTCACTTCCTTTTCTTTCCCTCTTCTATTAACCCTTTGCAGTCTGGCTTCCAACCTCATCTAACTGAAATAGTCCTTCAAAATTACCAATAATTTCTACATTTTCAAATGTAATGGTCTCTTTTTGGTCCTTCTTGACTTCTCTACAGCTTCTGATACTGTTGATTATCTCCTAGATGCCCTCTTCTCTCTGGGTTTTTGACATTATTCTCTCTGCATTCTCTTATATGCTCCTCACTCTGCTTTGTTGATCTTCATCCATGTCTGCCCACTAACTGTGGATGCCTCCCAAGGCTCTGTCTTGGGCTTTTCTTTTTTTTCCACTCTATACCATCTGTCATGGTGATCTCATCAGCTCCCATAGGTTCAGTTATCATCTCTGCAGATGATTCTCAGATATATATATCAAACTCATCTTTTTTCTGAACTCTAGTCTGAAATCATTGAGTGTTTTGAACTGGATATCCTGTAGACATCTCAGATTTAATATGTTCAAAACAGAATTCATCTTTCCCCTAAAACCTTCCCATCATCCAAACTTCCCTCTTACTGTTGAGGATACAAAAATCCTCCTGGTTGCCAACTACAACTTGATTCCTCATTCTTACCCCACATATCCAGCCCTGACAAATCCTGTTCCTGCTTTCTCAATGTCTTTTGCACTGATCTCCTTTTCTTCTCATAGCCATTAACCTAGTTCAGACCCTCAACAGCCCTCTATTAGAATAGTCTTCCAACTGGTCTCCTTGCCTCAAGTCTCTCTCCAATCCAATCCATTCTCCGTTCGACTGCTAAGGTAATTTTCCTCAATTTTCTGACAATATTATCTCCTTATGGTCCCTCCTCAGTGAGTTCCGGTGACTAAAATCTTGAATATCGAATATGAACTCCTCTATTTGGCCTTTAAAACTCTCCATAATATAACATTGCCCATTCCCACCTTTCCAATCTTCTTACACTTTATGTCCTTCCATGTACTTTATCTTTGTACTGGCCTTGATCCTGACACTCTCCCTCCTATCTCTGTACTGGCTGCTTCCCATACCTGGAATGATCTCCCTTTTGCCACCAGACCTCACCTCTGTTTCTTGCTTTCTCTGTCTTCCTTCAAGACTCATCTCAAATCTTATTTTCTGAATCCCTTCCCCTTCCCCTAGCAGCTAGTACTTCTCTCAGATTATCTTCCATCTACTTTCATCTACTCTATGTGTCTTACATGTAACTAATTATTTACCTGCTATCTCCTCTATTGGAGTATAAACTTTTTGAGGTTGGGGATGGTTTGCTTTTCTTTGTGTCCCTAGCACTAAGCACAGTGTTTGGCACATTGTAAGTGCTTAATAAATGCTTATTGATGGATTGACTATTAGGACAGCTAAACAATTTGAGAGAAAGAAAATGGTGGACAGTAGGCAAGTGATCCATAAGAAAGAGTAAATATATGACTGGAGGAGTTAGACAATTTTTGTTTTGTTTCTATGCTATCTGATACAATGAACTTAAAGTCAAATTGCAAATTAATGGAGAACTCTCTTTCACGTCCCCTTTTCTAGAATTTCTAGAATCCCTCAGGATGTCAACTTGTGTGGTTTCTGTTGGAGACAGGATAATATGAGCATTGAAGGTCTACAAACAAAGCCTAGATGATTGTGTCAGGTATGTGTAGAGGAATTTTTATGGAAGTACAAGTTGGACTTGATGGGCTCTGAGGTCCCTTCCATCTGTTAAAATTTCATGATTCTGATGTGGCAAGGTAGAGTCATTCATTAGTTCATTAGATAGAAAAACAACAGTTTTATATATCAGTTTAATGACTTATTAAGTATTTATGTCAGTCCTGTTATTCAGTCTCCTGTACTTTCCTTATTTGAGAGTACTCTGAGGGAGATATTATCAATGTTATTATCCTTATTTCATGAATAAGGAAACAGGCTCTATTGAGTAGTGACTAGCCCAGAGGTGTACCAATAGTGAGGTTAAATAGCTTGTTTGGAGTTCTACAGGTGCTAAGGGATCTATGAATCATCAGACTTTGGTCTTTCTGAGATCACTGCTCTTTCCAACATACCCAGAATATAAAAATGAAGAGGGATCAGAAGAAATAAGATAATATCACTGAAACAATGACTGCCAGAGGG